TAAAGTTCACTCATTAACTCAGAAAATATCCCAGTGAAACCACAAAGAGCTGCTCAGAGTAACATCTTTAAGCACAGAGTTAAATAATAAACTTTTTGAATTTCAAGGATATTTTATTGTTTCAGTAAATATTTAATCAGCCAGTCACATGTCGACTCAAGAAGTTTGTCATTTTTATGGAGTTGCCTGAAACGAAATAGTGTTTGTCACCAGCCTCTACAGTGCAATAAGCAATAATAAGCAATACAGTTAAAAAGAATAAATACAGTTTTAAAAAGGCAGTAATGAACTGCAACAATAGTTATGGTTAAAGTACATGTAGAGCCTCTAACCATGCCCAGGAAGACCTGCTGAAGTTCGCACTGAGCACCAGAATGGGAAGGAAATGTGATTTTAGTGACTTTGAACACGGCACGGTGCAGAAACTAACCTGCTGGGATTTTCCACCAACCATCTGAGTTTACAGAAAACGGTCCAATTTGAAAATGTCCTATGAGCAGGAGTTCTCTGCGAGAGGAGAATGGACAGACCGCTTCGAGCTGGGCTACAGCAGCAGAAGACCACGATGAGCGTCACTCCTGTCAGCTACGAACAGGAAAATGAGACGACGGCTCACACAGACTCACCAAAACTGGGCAGCAGAAGACTGGAAAGTGGCTAAACATCATGAAAGCATGGATCCATCGTGCCTGTTTCACCAGTTCAGGCTGCTGGTGGGATGGTGTGGGGGTTATTTCCTTGGTGGACTTTTCTCTCCACAGCCCGAGTGGCTGCAGAATAAATCCCCACGTTACAAACTCAGATCATCAAACTGGTTTCTTGACCGTGACGTTCACTCAAACATCCACAGACACTTAATCTTAATCAAATAGTTGTTTTTTTATGCTGTAGTGCAATGGGAGGTCACAGATGTGCAGCAGCTGTGTGACGCTGTCATGTTATATCATATTGGCCCCACTGTTGAAGACTGCATGCTGGTCCATCAATAGCAGGACAAGCGGACTCCTCAAACTGATGCATCTGGCAACTACTGCAGTGCTCCAAGACATCAGAGGGAGAAGATGTTGGAGAGGAGCCATCCAGCTCGAAGTGACCCAAATAAATGTTTTGGTCTTTTTCAAGGCCATGCAGTGGGCGGAGTCAGGCTCTGATATGATTGGGATAAGTAGAATCTTACTGTCAGCTTGCAGTACAGTGCACATTACATTTACCTAAACTGTATTTGTGAGTGTGTGCACCATTTCTTAGCACTTCACCGACTCTGCTGCCCAATTTGCCGAGAACATGAGCCGAGGGTCTCGCAGGAGGGAGTCGTGCGCTGGTGTTTGTGAGCTTCTGTGACGGCAAAGTTTCCTCTGTTGGACGCTGCACAGCAGTAGATGTCATTCCTATTTCTAATCTCCCAACGGAGAGGGCAGCCACAGATGGCGCCTGCCAATAACATCGCACGGCAGATTTGACGAGAGGAATTTTCATACAAAGACGGAGAAGTGCGGTGCTGGGGAAGTTGTCGGGGCGCGACCTTTCATTGATGTAAGTGTGTGTGTGTGTGTGTGTTTGTGTGTGTGTGTGTGTGTGTGTAAATGACTGCAGGCCCAGAGAGTTAACCCCCAACCTGGAGCAAACTCCTGCTTTAGTCCCGTCCAGCTGCCGCTCTAGAGTGAAGCCAATGTTTCACAGTTTGAATCGACAAGTATTCAAACATTCAACATGACAGCTTCAGACGGCTTTTATTGGTCACATGGCATCATAAGAGCTCTAATTAAGATCAGAGACCGTCGTTGTCAGACGTCCATGTTGCTCTATTGCATCTTCTCTACGTCACTTACATTCATAGTCATTATTCATTTACCTGAAATGAAGACGAAATGCACAAACAACATGTGGAAGAGGGAAAGGAGCAGCCAGGTGTCGACTATCAAATGCACCGATTAACTGATCGTCTGAAAGCTCAAGCTTCCCTATAAAAGCAGAGGTTTGGGCAGTTTGCAGGTCTGCAACCAGCAGTGATCTTAGAGAAGCGTCTGCTGAGGGAGGGCTACAAGGCCATTTCCTTAACTGAGGTTTACAAAGGCTGAATAGAGATTGACAGACCACGTGACTTTCGCGCATTGCATGCC